TCATAAGTGATGCACAGAAATCTGTATCAATAAATATTCTGCTTTACAGTGCACCTGGATTGCTGTAAGATATGAAAGATTATTTGCGATACAAAGATTTTAGACACCAATCATTTGAGGATTTGAAGATGTAAATGCCTGTGTAGATGACAGAAACAAAAATATAATTCTTAAGAGCTCAGCTAAGGCCACCAGGTCAATAAAATAATTAATAACTAACATCCCCTTCTCCCCCCCACAAACTATGTCAACAAGGACAACTCACTCGGCCAGCAGCAATTACAGTGTCTGACAGACACTATACTGACTGGATCTTTTGTTTTCAAACATGGGACAAAAGTTCAGCACTTCTCTCAAGTTTTTCTAACGAATTCAAGCCCTCCTTCCTCAAGTCAGGAAGATATTTATCACCAGCTTCCTCTGGACAAAGAAAGAAATAAAGAGCATCTGCAACACTATATAGCTTAGCACCACTCTTAAGCACTGAGCCTCATGTTCATCTGAGGCTGTAGTCTTCCTCTGTGAAGTCACCTCCCTTCACCTAACACTGCTCTAAAACGTTTATGCCATTTAGTTTTTTTAACTCAAGTTCCTCCTCATTTTTTGAGAGCAGCTGATTAAACCTGAACAACTGGGTTGTTGGACGAAATATGCTGTAGCTATGAAATGGTACAGCAGGGACCAGTTTCACTGTTAATTTAAAATGCTAGAATTAATTAGGTAGTGTAAATGAAGAATTTAATAAGCACACTTTACAACCACAAGTTCTGCTTTTATTAAACACCCCTGCCAAATGAAGGCAACTATCTTCAGTCTGTTTTGCCTTGTCTCATTCCCTTAAAATCTCTGCAGTGAAAAAAGTATTTTTTCTATTGCAACCCCTCCTCCACAATTAAAATGTATGCCTGACTTCCATCTCCTCTTTCAAGTCATTAGCATCTTTTAAAAATGCTACTGTATATCCTGCCTGTTCTGAGAAGCTACCAAACAAAACCGAAGTTTACGATTTTGGTTTTGAATACCAAATTAAAGGCTGTCTTAGAAGCTGTCATTCCTATTCAGCTCAGTGCGGTGTACTACCAAATTAGCATATTTTTTTAGTAAGGGAATATGCATGTTTAAACATGTGTCTTTCCAAAGCGAGGGGTAACATCACGAATCAATTTTCTTAAAAAACCCTACTACTGTTCCAAGACTGCAAAAAGACTTGGAGCAGACGATTATTCCTGACATACACTGTTTAATCCATTTTAAAATTAAGAAGAGTTCAGATCATAAATTCTCTCAAAGGGATCCCGTATGTTCAACAGACTTTGTCTAGCTGTGAACTCCTTGAAAAAAGTATTTTGGGAGCCTAAACATTATTTTACGAAATCTATGCAATTCCTTAACAGGACAGGGGAAATAGAATCTTTTACATGAACCAATTCAATCCTATTTAGCCTCAGAAATACATCAAATTTTCTAATATGGTTTTGCCAGGGTACCTACTTAATGATTATGGTTTGTGACCTTCTCTATTTTTCTTGAAGCAATCTCTCTCTGCAGCGAACTTTTTATTCTGGCTTTCCTTGATTTACCTTAATAGATATTAAGTTTGTCTCCTGCTAAGACAACCCATATTTTAAACAGGAAGAGCTCCAACATTTGTTTAGAGGCATACTACAACAGCACACACTTAGCTGAGGTTTATTAAACACACAAAATTTTGAACAGAAATAACGAAGAATCCAGAAGTAGACAAAACCTAAATTGTTTCAGGCCTTCACCAGTTCAGTAAGAATAGCTTAAGAATTTACTGTTTCTTCTGCTGTACAGCTTTCACTGTCAAAAAAGAAAAGCAGAGAACGCCTGGAAAGCCAGTCATTCCTGTAACAGCCTACTGGCATAGTCCCCTCCCAAGAACCCTAACGAAGAAGAACACACTTACATGACAATTCTGAAAGATGAGCTGGATATGAGCTCAGTGCATTTCCATTTTGTTACTCTCAATGCTCTAAACCTTTAAAAACATGGACTGCTTCTGGCTGAGGACTTAATTTGATTTACTAACTCCAAATTCAATGTGAGGAAGGAACATGCATCCTAAAATTTAGTAATGTTGCACAATGTCTTTTTTCCGTTTTCAAAAATGGCACAGCGACTTTGGAAGACAATTCTTTTGCAAGTTTGGTTCTTTTGTACTTTGTATCACTTCTTAAAACAACATGTAGGCTCCTCAATCACTTAGGGGTGATGTCCTCAAAGTATCTGTGTAATTATTCCCCCCCCCTGCCCTTTAAAGTATCTTACTCATCATAGAGATTTACACACTTTGTGCAGAAAGAAAACGCATAGGCAAAAAAAAAAGAACATGTCAGAAGATCATATAGCAAATTTCTCACATCTTCAAATACAGAGACAAAAGCCTGGAGATAGAATGAAACAAAAAGAATACTGTTCCTAGCTGATGAAGTAATGGCTCTCCGTCCAAAGTCAGCCAATTCCCTATGAAAACAACACTGAACATCTAAAGTCTTGAAATTATATTGCAAGGACATCGTCATGAATTTGAGGGATATGGGAAGCAGAAAAGATCATGAAACACAGGACCTGCCACGCTCGAAGTTCAAGCTAGGCACACTAGACTCCTGCAGATGAGGGTTAGGTATTCACTTCTGTCTGAAGTAACTGAAGTAACCTGCAATTGAATTTATCATATTTTCAGGCTAAAAAGACAGACACCGATTTGGAGCTAAACTGGTCTGTTGGTAGATATCAAGGGTAGTACGTCACACTGGGATACTGGGCCAGCTATGCTTATGAAAGAAGAGGACTTCAGTTAATTTGCATGGAAATTTCTGGAGTGGGAGGTTATAAGCCATTTGTTTTCCTTAAAGCAGAAAAAAAGTAAAGAATAAATAAAAGTCAATTCAATTTTTCAATCTTCTTCCTTTAATACCCCTGAAGCTGTGTCCCAATCAGAAGATATATTGAAATAGATACATCATGGTCAACGTGCTAAAGAAAGCTCTGCCGGACTACACTTCTGAGGACTTGAGCTGCCCTGCAGCCACTGCCATTTGTTATGTGCCTTGTGTTCAACCTGAACATTTGCTGTACGTCAGGAAGTAAATAAAAAAAGAAGCATTACATGTTTAAAAGCACTAAGCAGATCATCCTAATACTGCCAGTAGTACAACACCTGCCAGGCTGTTACGGAAGTAGGTATGAAGATTTGTATTTTAATTACTCATCTTTATACGGTGCCTCTTTCCACAGAGCGCACACTCAAGCTGCCAGGAGTGCATCCGAGAGAAGAGACAGCTCCTTTTCTGGAACCCTTTCCTTCCCAAGGCTGCTGCTCTGTGCTAAACATAACAGCACTGGTGATGCACTGAACAGCAGTGACATTTCAGCTGTTCCCCACCTACAGTGCGAGTAGACACGCAACCTATAAACTAACCTATAAAGCAAGCTATAAAAGCTGATTGTTCATGCCCCTGTCTTCTTGCACATCAGTGAGTTCCTGGCTGTGGCAGCAAGAAAATAGAGTAGGCTAGGTGCACCTACACCCATCCACACCTCTTCTAGCGATGGTGCAAACATCTTGCTCCTTTTTGAGGCAGTATCTGCAATAGGAGGCTTTCCTCATTCTGAAGGCACCTACCAGTAGATGCTGCTTCATGTGAAAAAGTGTCATGGCAAATTAAAGTGTTTTCAGGGAGCAAAATTAAGTTCTTTAACCAACACCCACAAATGTCCAAATGAAATCCAGAGCAGTGGCACCCAACTACAGACCACTGCTGTTCCAGAATGCCATGGTAAATAAGCTGTGATAGGCATGCAAAACCATCTTGACTTTACAGTGTTGTTAACAGGCAAAAATCTGATAAAGGTATGGTGAGGTTCAAAAAAAATAGTTCAAAACATCCAGTTGGCTCACGCCATTCAGACTATCCTCCTATAACTTTATCAGCATTAAATAAAAAAACCCCAGAATAATTAGGAAAGTAATGCCATCATCTGAGGTTGGCTGCAAGAAGCTGCACAGCATGTTACATGCATGCACACGGGCAATGTTTGTTTTTCTCAGATCTGTATGGAGGCTGGAAGACAAGGGGCTTCTCCTACACTCGTTCTAGATCCAGTCTGTATCATTGACAACTAAAGGTTTACCATCTGAAGAAGTCTACCATGCAGTATCCCTCAAGCTAAGCACTTGCAATATAAGCACCAAGATTTTGCTGACTGCAAGTGTAAACGGACCCTGATGAATATAAGAGTCAACAATATAAAGCACTTACCTGTAATTTTGTCTCTCACGAGCTTGCAGGATTCAATTTCACCAATGCTCCCAAAGAGACTCCTGAACTCCTCCTGGGTCATGTTCTGGGGTAAATAGTTGACTATGAGGTTGGTTTTACTGTCATCTGTAGCAGCCCCCGTCTGCATCGGGGAAGGGCAGTTTCTACTGTTGCTGGAGGGTCCATTGGTTGTATTGGAAGTAGGGCCATTCGACACCTGAGGCTCCATGGTGCTAATTATCTACATCAAAATAAGATGAGAAGGGGAAAAAACCTTAAGTTTCATAGATACAATAGCTATTTTTAAAGATACTTACAAACGAATGAGTAGGTAGCATTCATGGCGCATTTAGATACTTCAACAAAAAAACCCAGCTTGATTCCTCTCATTGTTGCAAAGTAGGTCATGCTCGTCTTTGGCTGTGAGCATATACTAAGATGCAGTTAAAAAAACCTTTTTTTGTTAATGCGAAGCTGAGTTCTGCTTTCATCACGCAGCCATTTTCACAAATGTAAATTTAAACCACATAAATTTAATTATAATTTAAGGTAATAATCATAATTAAAATTATAGTTCCATTAAATCAGATGAAGTAAGTGTATGGCTCTATAAAAAAGGTAAAATATTTTACCTATTTAATAACTGTATCACACAGTGCAATGACAACAACATTAACCAGGCACAGTCGATCTGCAAAGTGTCATCATTTGGATTGCCTTCAATTAATAAACTCATAGCATCCCAAGACATACCATTTACTGGTTCCAGTGATGACCTATATTCTCCAGTTACATTTTTCACTAACGAACTGACACCTCTTTAAATAATAAAGCCCTAGATTTGCAATCTTCAGAGATAAAGGTCTTCAGATATTTACTGGAATCAAAGAGGTTTAATCAGAGAAAGGCTTATCAGGTGCAGGCTGGAATTTTAACAAGTGCTTCTACCTTGAAATGCAAAATTCCAATTTTCACAGAATAGACTCAAGTAGACCTTTCCCAAAAGCGACAAGCGAGAATCCAGCCTAGCAAAGTGCATACAGGACAGTAGCCCCATTGTCACCAGTGCCACCGGTCATGTGAGTAAAGCTGCATGTTTATCTGCAGGCTGAGGACTGAAGAATACAAGTTTTCAACTGAAAACTGCACAGGCAAAGGAAGCAGAAAAGCCTGGGTACTGCCAGCCTTTTCTATACAGGTATTTGACTCCACTATGCTTGCAGCCTGTCTTCACTGTTGCCAGGGCTGACAAGGGAAGGATGTCATCTTCATCCCAAGTCTGGATAAATTAAAGCAATGCAAATGGTGTCTTTTGCGGTCTGCTGTGACGTTTGTGATGGTGCAGCTCCACCGGTACCTCTTATCAAAGAGCATCCCTCAGATGGGCTCAGGCTCCCTCGATCAAAGACAGTCAGTGATGCGAACTGCTGCCCCGGGCAGGAGACTCCACTGCCGGGGACCAGGACAAACGCAGGGAGAACTGAGAGATAAGACACTGCATGCTCTGAACCTTGTGTTCATTTGATCCTGTAATTATTATAATTACTCCAGACTTAATTTACTTTAATGTACAGTGAGGTACATGTTGCGACAAATTAGGTCTGTAATCCAGGAGGATGGGGGACACTAAAACAGGGGTGTCTGTGCTAAAATCAACTTCATCGGGGTGCTTCAGTCTCTAAATAGGTTACATTGTGGTCAGTTCTACTTACTTTTTAGTCAAAATGCCTCGGTGTTGTTTAATGCCTCGTTTAGGAAACTGCCCTCTCTTTTGTCACTGGAAATAAGTTTTGAATTATCATTATTTTTGATTGTCAGGCCAAGGAATAGCTATTTGGTTTAACAATTTTTAAATAAAAAGAAGCCCTGCCACACTATGCTTCACAAAAAGGCCTTAAAACACCAAGCAGAGGCATTTTAAAAATCAACCCCATGAAGACAGCAACTTCTTCAAAGACTTCGGCATGTCCAAACCAGAACCCCCTTGCCAATTTTACCAGCCCCATGTGCTCCTCCTTCACAACTTTCCCTTTTACCCAGGATTAGCCATACTTCCTTTTCAATCCGATTTCATACACGTATTTACTCACACGTACCACTAAATGCTTCAGCTGCTCTTCAATCTGTTTAGCTCGGAAGCCCAGCTGGAAGATCATCCTTTGATCCCTGCACCTCTGTGACCAAACACCGACGCCAACCCTAAGCTTCGCTGCAGGGTCGGGGTGATGCACCCCAAGGCTAACGCACTTCAGCTGAGCACAGTGCACTCATAGATGCTCTATCTGCAGCAGCTTGATTAAAATCAGGGGGAAAAAATTCAGTTCTGGCAGTAAGACATAGTCAGTAGATGAATGAAGCAGCTGACACTTAACAGCCGCTTTCTGTGCGCATTTAGATCATCTGACCAGATCCTTTCCAACATAAAAAAAAAAATCCACAAGGTAAACTGCAGTTTTCGGGACCAATCCTGCCCTTCTAAAGCTGACAGGGATACCACACCGCTGGTTTCAGTTACAGCAGAAGCAGGACTTCAGCACAATGCATTGAGGAAGGTACATCATCTATTATTAGCAACAGACACAAAAGCTATCTATAGTTGCCTATGATAAACAATAACCCTGGATCTTTTAAATCTGTGAAAGAAAACAAAATTCCAAACTGGCTCATGTCCTACTTAGGCCTTTTGTAAAGTCTTTTTAGTTACATTTTGAGCATCCTTGCTCAGATTTCAATTCAGAATTCAACTCAGGTTCAGAACATTAAGAGTAAGCTGCTCTGTAAAAATCTGTTCTTGAACAAGCAGATTTCCTCACATAATACTTCATCAAAATATCTTGGCACAAACTAATGTCACACCAGGTGCCAGGTTTTCTTCCTAGTTACTGTCACTGAACTCCAATTAGGTTTCCTGATTTTTTCAATAGTAGAAAGTAAAATCAAGGCACTTATTTGCCCTTCAAATTATTGCAAAGTTGTAGGTTACTGAAAATTGATTTGCTGTGTAAAAAAAGAGATAGTGGATAGAGAGAAATGTTGAAGAATTATTAAAATGTTTCTGATAAAGCATTTCACATGCATTTTTTTTTTACTGCGTAATTTTAAGTCTCCATTTACAGAGCAATTTCTGTGATAAAGCAGTTATATACCAGAGCTTGCATTTGAAGCTCTTACGGGCACAAAGGAACAATACTTATTTTAGATGTACATACTGATTCACATTAGTAAAGACTTACATTATTAATGGTAACAAAAAGGTAAGTCCTAGCTCTCCTTCCCAAACATTCTGTCTTCTTCCCGACATGTCTGAAGCTCAAATCCACTGTTACGAGTTCAGTGTGCATGCACTGGAACATTTATTGTCACGGACTCTTTTTAATATTAAGTAGTTGTTGATCCCACAACATTACATAAGAGTAACATTATTTATTTAAAGAATACACTTCAACATGCCATTTGCTGTTTTTTCTACCCACAACACTGAGATTTAGATTTTTAATTCAATACCTGTATCACAACGTGAACATTTTTGAAATAGATACTCTAGTTTCCTGGGCACACAGTTAACTTTCATTATGTTTTAATTACTGGTAATAACTTTAACACAAGAAAGTATTGGGCTGCAATTCAATTATAAAAAAATATTAAAGGAGGCTGTAAGTACGTCTTTCACTCATCAAGGGCTTATTTGGATATGGGCAAAATAAATGTGGAAAATACAGCAGTGACTTAATCCCAACGTTAATTTTTTAAAAACAAAACATATTCTTATCCCTTGAAGATTAGTATTACATCTCTATACACGCCACCTAAAATTAGCAACATCTCTATGCTTTTGTAGATCTTCTCTGACCCAGTTTAGGCAGCTACTACTGGTCTTGAAATATTACAGTGCAAAAGTCATGTGTGATGGCATTCACATGCTACCGATAAGAGGTATTTTGTTCTGTGTTTGGTTTTTTTTTGGCAACAACTCACCAGACTTCCAATACTGCAACACCATGTTCTATATACAGAATAAGTGTCTCTGAAGAATAAACTGCAGTTACTGTTGATAGACATTGATAATTTAGCCACCAATAATTTGAATATTGTATCTTTATAACACTGAAAAAATATGATCTGTGACAATTTCAAGACTGCAATTTTGTAAATTGAAGGCAACCCATACTTCAAATTCTGCATGTATTTAATCAGACTGCTCCTTTAAAACATGACTTCTTGGTGTACTACTTTTCTCAGTACAGTGATGTATCGACAGAGTACGAGGTATTTTAGTCTGACAGATTTCAGAAAGAAATGCTTTGCTGCTCAGGAGGACAGCATCAGCTCTGCCAGTGTTTTGCAAAACAATGCTTACCAAAAGGCTTGGTATAACCCCTCCTACAAAATATCAGCGACAAATACCCATTATAGCAACTCGTACATTACAAATAACATTTTGAGAAATACTTCTGTCTTTTTTTTTTACAATTAATTTCAGTTTATTCCTGCT